TAACGAGAAATATCCCTACACCCACATTCCACATGCCAGCGATGGAGTGGGCGTGGCTGCGCACTTGAACATGGCAAGGGATGCGTTGCTAGTGGGGTATTTCCATTGATACAGGTGTCATTCTATCTTGTACTGGACAAAGTCGTAGTTGCAACTGTTCTGAAACTGCAACATCCTTCCGAAAGCGCAGCTGCCGTCACCTTCGATAGAAGTACGCAGCCACGGACCCCTAATCTTTGGAATAAGGTGTGTAGTTCACCTCACTCGATGGAATCCTCCAGTATAATCACTGGATGATCAGACCGCGCTCACTCGTTGCGGCAACGGAGAGCCGGAGATTAGCGAAAAAGGGTAGATGCGAACTCATTTCCTCGATTCTCCACCTGGATAGAGTCCACAAAATCAGCCCAATCCCGATACCCAGTTACTTCCGCGTAAGGAATGAACACGCCGTACACGTGAAGATTAGCCACTTATTATGTACGGTCCTCATCGCCAGTCAAGAACCTTTAATGGAAGCCAATCTACGCATACTCGTTCACGTCGTTGTAACGAAAAGGGAGGAGAGTGAGGGAACGAAGAAGGGAACAGTTTTTCCTCTCATGGTTAAACGCACCTAAGAAAGTTGCAGTAAATTTGCGGCTGTACTCAGCCTGTCTCATTGATTCCTTGAAGTCCAATTTCTCAGTCTCAGCCACGCTTGGACTACCTCATGTAGGCATATGTACCTTGTCTATACGGCATCTGGGAGGGGAGAGGCAGGAAGAGGGGAGAGAGAACTTTTGTACCTCATGTGGTTGAACTTGGGTAAGTAAGCCTACCCCGGGCTGCCTTGCTCTACCAGTGGTGAACGGTTAATGATCGATTCAGGAAGAACCAATGGTGAAACGCCGCTGTTAGGCTTAACTGCCTCCTGACACCCCTTCCCCGGACTGGTTTCGACGATATCAACTGCACGAAAAATATTTTCCGAGATCTTTTTGGCATTTTGCGGTTGCTACTTTGGATTGCCAGGCATTTTGGTTGTTTTAGGCTTCTGTGGATAACCGCCTATGGCCTGTTCGCCCTGTGTATTTCCTAGCAGGAGCGGTTTCGATCGGTGCCATCCAAGTGCGAATGTCACCAGAACCGCTTGTTTCGCTATGTTCCCGTCTTTACAAATAAAGTTGCGGAGGTAATTTTGCGTCATATTTTTCTACAAACCAAAATATTTATTTTTCTTTGAATTTCATCTTTCAGTGGGCCAAAGTGTGCGCCCTTTCAG